AGGATGTGACAGGTATGACAGACAGAAGACTATTGAAAATTTAAACTTTCAAAATGTTTATTCATATACCAATAGTGAAGACAAACTGCTTACAATTGTGTTAATATTTTTTATATAAAACTGTATTCCAATATGTTTCATACATTTAAATACGTTTATGGGTGTCTTCTCCGATAGATAAAGATGTTCAATGTGTGAAAATAGAAACTGCCTATTTTTGACAGATTTGTTCTAGAATGATATAGGATTTTCAGTGATCCTCGATTTATGTGAACTTTGACCTCCGGCGACCTATTTATTATTCGAATATGAATAAAAACTGACTCGAGGGAATGTGTATTTGACCATAATTATTTTGAGGTGGTAATTTACTTCTTTGTGACAAATATTCACCAAGGCACTGTATTTTAAGTTACATCTCCCCCATAATTCAGTTTGAAATTTTTGGGGTTAAGAACTATTAAAAACAGCCATATCTCTCAAAAACGCACCATTTGTGACGAGTAAGACAACCAGATTTGGATTCCCTGGGTATTTTTACCCCTAAAAACCCACAGTAGACAAATGCACTCCAAAACATAAATAAAGTGGTCTCAGCTCCTGGACTATTAGCTGTATCTAGTTCTTGGCGCCAATGAGCAAGGAACGAGATTACGTTTGTTGAACGTTGGGTCGCACGAGTTCCTGTTAAGCGAGTCAACGTGTTTTTACCGATGATAACTACACTTCTGTGATTATTTCAACGCTGATATGCCCATTCTCATTTTAACGAAACATATTACTACTGGTTTATATTTCGTGTCCATCTCTAATTTTAAATATACAAGCTAAAATGGTTATGTTGAAGTGCTCGGGCTCGTACTTCTATTTACCCCTAAACCTCAGACCCAATACACAGCCCCTCTATCCCGGTCAAGCAACGCCAACGCCAGACAGTTTTTTTTTTTCAATCTGGGTTGCGGTTAAACAAACTTCTTGTCCACGACAGGGATAGAGGAACTTGTGACAAAACATGTACTTTATTTCTCCACATATTCTATGAATTCGTGTTTATGGTTTCTATCGGAAATGTGTGCTAAATAACTCTGTTACCGAACTACATCAGTAACAACCATTGTAGTTTTCGTGTC